GTGATTCAAGGGCAGGCGGCAGATCCGAGGGTTTTGTAAGCACAAGTTAAGCAGGGAGAATTGCAGCCAGACCGTCTGTCTGAGCACGGTGTGGGAGAGAGAAAAAAGCCAGACGGTGGGAGATAAAGAATGAGGCTGATGAGCTTACAAAGGAAAATAATGAACTGAAGGCCAAGCAGGGCTAGAAGAGCTGAATCTGGAAGACAGCAAAGTTGCTGGTGTGATGGCTGACTTAGACTTAGGAGCAGGACTCTGATCAAGCCCTTGCTCTGATTTTTCAAGCTGCAATATCCAGGCAGCATTTAACAGGGAATGGGGCCTCTCTCAGAGAAGGAAAGCCAGCTCTGTGTGCCAAGGATCATCCACAAGGACAGTAACTGCAAATTTGTGACAAGGCTGTGTGGCACAGCCTGTAAAGATGACAGGCTAGGCATGTTCAGCCTGGAGAAAAGAAGGCTCTGGGAAGTCCTTTCCAGTGCCTATAGGGGCTCTGAGAGAGCCAAAAAGGGATTATTTACAAGGGTATGCAGTGACAGGACAAGGGACAGTGGTTTTAAACTGCCAGAGGGCAGGGTTAGATGGGATATTGGGAAGGAATTCATCCCTGTGAGGGTGGGGAGGCCCTGGCACAGGTTGCCCAGAAAAGCTGTGGCTGCAATGTCCCTCCAAGTGTCCAAGGCCAGGTTGAGCAACCTGGTTTAATAGAAGGTGTCCCTGCTCACGGGTTTGGAATGAGGTGATCTTTAATGTCCCTTCCAACCCAAACCATTCTGGGATTCCACAGGAGGAAGTAGAAGAAAAGCTGTAGCAGAATGTGGCGTTTAGTAATAGTGACTGTAAAGCAGGAGAAAGGAGAAATGAGGAATTAAAGTGAAGATATAGATTAAGCTTCATCCTTGAAAACTTCTGTACAGACAAGTCTGACTTGCCAAGGTTAAGATGAGCTTTTTAGCTTCCCACATCCCTGCTATCTACTCATGAAAGGCAAAAGGAATTCTTTATCGGGCTCTGCTTTCGTGGCAGTGGAGGACACGGATGGAGGTATCTCGCCCTCTGGTGGGTGAAAACACAACCTGCAGGAGCCTTGGTCTTCATGGTGTATTAAGAAATAATAATTAAAATTACTGGTTATTGGAAAGAAAAATAAATTATATTCTAGAGGTTTTAAGTTCTGAAATTCAGAAAAAAATTGATGAATTATGCATGTGATCACACACAACCCTCCCAAATAAGGTTGATGAGTTCAGGATCTGGAGCAATATGACAGAAAGGGATCAGAAAATCAACAAAACACCATGATGGAGAAATCCCTAAAGCTGGGATCCCTAAATCCGGGAAGTCAGTGTGCTGGGGTGTGTCTCTGGAGTGTGTGTAGAGAACACCAGCAGTGTGGGGACTGACAAGGCAGAGATCTGGGTGCATCTGCAGGGCCATGATCTTGTTGGGATCAGGAAGATGTGGTAGGATGGCTCCCACGACCTGAGTGTTGCAATGGAGGGATACAGACAAGCCAAAAAGGTGAGGAGAGGGAGCTGCCCTGTAGTGAGAGAGCAGCTGGAGTGCCTGGAATTCCGAGTGGATGATGAGCCAACAGCTTACAGGGGAAGGGTTCAAGGGATAACCAGTTTGGGTGATGTTGTACTGGCCCTGCTCCTCATGGGGGACTTCAGCCACCCTGATACCTGCTGGAAGGACAAGAAAAGAGGGATGGAGCATCTCTCCTAAGAGGAAATGCCAAGAGAATTGGGATTGTTCATTCTAGAGAAGAGAAGGCTTCGGGGTAACCTAATTGTAGTCTTCCAGTACCTGAAGGGAGCCTACAGGAAAGATGGAGAGGGACTATTTAGAAAACATGTAATGACAGGACAAAGGGAAATGGCTTCAAAGTGAAGCCAGAGAGTAGATTTAGATTGGGTATTAGGAAGAAATTATTTAGTGTGGGGTTGGTGAGGCCTTGGCACTGGTTGTCCAGAGAAGCTGTGGATGCCCTATCCATGGAAACATTCAAGGTCAAGTTGGATGGAGCCCTGAGAAACGTGGTCTAGTAGAAGGTGTCTCTGGCCATGGTAGGGGGTTGGAATGAGATGATCTTTAAGGTCTCTTCCAACCCAAACCCTTCTAGGATTCTGTGATTTTCAGTCCAGGAGATTTCTGGAATGCAGTGGTGGTAACTCCCTCCTCCAAGTGATGGAGGAGTTGACAAGGAGAGGTACTTTGCTGGACGTCAGACTCATGGTTTACTGGAAATGTGAGGGTCAAAAGCAGAGCTGGCTGGAGGAGCTCAGTATCCTGAAGGAAGGGAGGAAGGCAAACATCAAACACTAGCCTTCAGATTTTGGCCTCTTCAAAGGCCTCTATCCGCTTGGTAGAGTCCCCTGGGATAAAGAGGCCTGGGAGGAGTCATCTCCAAGCTCAAGAACAATCCATTCTAATGAGCAGGAAGCTGGGAAAAAATGCCAGCAGGCCTGCATGGATAAACAAGGAGCTCCTGGAAAAACTCAAACACAGAAGCAGCAGAGAGAAGGTGAAAGCAAGGATGTGGATAGAAAGGAATACAGAGATTATCTGAGTGTGTGGAGATGAGGAAAGGCAAAGTCCAACTGGAATCTGTTCGGGAATACCAAAGACAACCAGAAGGGTTTCTACAGGGTGACAAAAGGGAGAGTAGGGAAAAAGTTGTGGGCCCATTGCTCAGTAAGATGTGGGAGCTGGCTACAGAGAACATGGAAAAGCTTTCTTCACCTCAGTCTTTACCAATGGGATAAGCCTTCAGGAATCCCTGGTCCCTGAGAGCAGGGAGAAGGGCTGGAGCAGGGAACATGTACCTGGTGGAAGAGGATCACGTCAGGCAATATTTAAAGGATTTTATAGGTGTATATAAATCCCTGAAGGGAAGGTGCAAAGTGGACAGGACGAGGCTCTGTACTAGGCCCCCAGGGCCAGGACCAGAGGGCATAGGCACACACTGGATGGAACACAGGAGGTTCCTCTGAACATCAGGAAACACTTTTTTACTGTGAAGGTGGCTGAGCACTGGCACAGGTTGTCCTCAGAGGTGATGGAGTTGCCATCCTTGGAGATATTCAAAATCCATCTGGACAGGGACCTGGGCAACCAGCTCTGAGTGGCCCTGCTTGAGCTGAGGGTTGGACCAAGTGGCCCCCAGAGATCTTTTCCAAACTCCACCCTTATGTGATTGTGGATGATGAACTAAAATTTCTCTAATCAGTGTCAGGGCAGTTGTTCTGCACTTCCCTTGTGGAAAGGGAATGAAATCCAAAAGGTATCAAGAAACCTTGGAAGTGCTTTGAGATGCACATATAAAACCACACCTTATTGTTCATTATTGTAATTATTATCCCCATTTTTTTCTAATGACTCATAACCTTCTGTAGCTGTGCAGTTGTGCATTTGGGAATTTCACACCACACCAATTGTTTTGCTTTCACAGATTTTTTTTTCCCATTAAAGTTTTTAAATAAAGATCAGTACAGTACAAAGCTTAAAATATTGTCAATGTTTTCAACAATACAAAGTCAGCAGGTGGGAGTTGGGAAGGGGATGGTTAATAAGGAACACTCATATCCTTCCCTGTTTCCCAAAGGAAAAAAATACAAACTCTTTTGTACTTCTGTTTAGTAATGAACAGTGCTTAAAAATAATCTTGTCAGTAAAAGATGTAAATTGCAAGGCACATGAGGAACCTGTCCTTGCCTTGTTACACAAATTAGGCATAAATACAAATTGAAGGCACCTGTCTCCATCCTCCCCTCCTGCTCTGTACACGGAGCAAATCCTGTCAGTGGGAATTTGTTGTTAACAGCAACCATGGAGCATGGAGCAGACAGCAAAGAGGCTGCCCTTGATCCTCAGGTTCCTTCAGGATTAATCCCCAAAAGAAACAGCACAAGGCACATTGGGATGAATTCTAAGGAGCTGTCCTGGTTTGCAAGATCTGAAGGAACACTACCTCAGGACCAGAGATTCCTGAGGGAGAGGACTGTCATCTCAGGGATCCCTGAGGGATCTCGGGTGGTCAGCTCTTCACCAAGCCTGGCCACTGGTACCTTCTTCCCAGGCATGCCTCCTTAGGAACACCAGGATGGAGGAGACCTGCTCCAAGCAGTGAGCCCAAGGAGAAGCTTGTGGCGGGGCTCAGACAAGCTGAGCATTTATCACAGAGGCACTTTGGATTTATCCAGATCCAGCCCTGGTGTCCTCTGGATCACTGGCAAAGCTTCCACAGCCACTTCCCAGCTGAGACTGCAGGTGGAGTCTGCCCAGGAAGGCAGCCAGGTGCGTAAGGCACAAGGATGAAGGAAAGAAAGAAGCTGGCTGGAGGAAGAGGAGGATGGAGACAGGGATGAAGGAAGCTCCAGTGTTGGTGAGCCCCTTGTGACACAAGGGCACATCCTCACAGCAGCACAGATCTGTATTGTAGATCCCAGCTCACTCCACCCATCATCGTAACCAGGAGTCAGCTCCAGGTGGGAGTGCAGGGCCACACGGAGATGGGCTCGGCTTCACCTGAGGGGAAACGTGGGAGTGTGCAAAACCACCTCCACTGTCACACCACTGCTCCACTGCCCACTTCTGCTCAGCCAGGGAGGAAAAGATATGATCAGAAGTACCAGATATGATCAGAAGTACCTTGGAAGAGCCATGTGGGGCTCCTCTCCCTGTCCCTGAATGAGACAGAATTACCGTACTCACCCTCCTTCAACAAGGGCAGGGCATGTCATCTGTTTTCAAACCCTCAGAGAAGGGGACACCTGGGTGATCCCTTCCTTTGGTACCAATGTAACTCCAGGTAGCATCAGAGCAGGTTTGCTATTACCAGCCATGCCCAATCCTTCTTAATTTTATCTCAGAAATGAGCTCTGGACCAGCCCGATTTACCTTTGTTTCTGCACAGGAACCCACTGATACCATCCAGTCAGTTCCACACCCAGTGCCTTGTTCTGCCTTACCCACCACAAAACCAAATTAGGCTGCAAGAAAAATTAGGCTGCAAGAAAAAGCTGCTTGCACTGGAAGCCTTTTCTCAAACTGGGAGGAGACCCACAAACAAAGCCAGAGGCCATGGAGGGAGCAGTCCATCAGTGCAGCTGAGTGAGTTGAGCAGCCAGCTGCCATGCAAGGAGGAACTGCTGCTGGCCTCCAATCCAGCCCTTCCCTGCCAGCAGCTGCATTGTCCAAGTGAGTTGGCTCAGATTTAAAACCAGCCGAAAATTACTGACATTTTTTCAGTAGGATTGGTTTCCCAAAGGTCCCTCTCCTGGCACTGGCTCACTCTGTGGTGAGATGAACTTCTGTGCATGGGAAGAGGTTGAACGAGGTGCAAGTGGGACCACCCCTGCTTGGCATCTCCCCTGAGGCAGATTTTCTTCTAGGTCAGCATGGCTGTACCATTTGTACCATCAAAAACACCCTATGAAATCAAGTAATTAATTTCTAAGCTCAGACCAGGACTGATGAGAAAGGGTGGAGCTGATGACCTCCTGAAGGCTTTCCTATGACTTCTTCTCCTATACTCCTATACCAAACTTACTTCCCTCTCCCTTTGTATTTAATTTTCTGTAGGGCCATGAGTCCCAAATTTACCTACTAAACACAGGACCAGCAAAGTGCCAATCTACAGGTCCGTTTTCCACCACCTATTAACAAATCTGTTGTCCAGCCCACCTTGCTCCTCCAGCAGGACAGCACTGTTTCCTTCAGGTTAATCTTAACCCAGCTAGGAGGCTCTGCAGATTTAAAATCCCAAGGCAAAGCCCTTCTGGATAACAAGTCCCATGCACATGCATGGAACATGCACACACACACACACACACCTCAAGAGCTGAAACACAGATGAAGTGCAGAAATCAGTGCTTGTCCTCACCAACCATATCCCCAACCCTACACTCTGCCTGCTCAGAACCAGCAATCACAATTCATTTGCCTGCCCTTGGGCTCAATGAGACAAATCCGTGGCTGGGATAGATCCCATGGATTCCTTGGTTTTAGCAAGGATTTAATCCTCCTTGGTGGCTCCATGTTCGATATTCCCCCAAGCCCAGCACAGAATAGATTCTTCTAGTGGGGGACATGGTAATCCAGCCTTTGTTACCTTGGACAGGAGTGACCCATGGACATTAAGTGACCCTGACCACTATCTTTGCTACTCCCCACAGGAATCACCAAGTCCCAAGGCCAAGCCTTCCCCAGGTTGTGCAGGACCCTAATGTCATCACTCTCCTTTACTTTTGCTGTTCCACCTTCATCTAATACTGACAAAAACCTGCCAGAGTCACAGCCCCACTTATCATAAAACAGCAACCCTGAAGCTCCAAAGTCAGCTTTCCCACAATGCTCATCAAGGACACAAAGCACCATTAAGAGGGGAATAAAGACCCCTTCACCTTCACACCCTTTTGGCCATGACCACAGTAGTGTTGTTGGAGGACCAGAGCCTTTCCTGTATCAAACAGATCCCATCCAAGTTAGTCCACATTTCATGGACATTGCTAGAGGTTGGTCAGACTCCCTGGACAGATGACACAGACCCAGTTTGTCCCAGAGGACCCCAGGTCAAGCCAGGATCTCCAAAGATGTTTTCCCAAAGCCACCTAAGTGACCTGGCATTGACACCCTTGACAAGGGGAACTCAGAGAGAGCCTGGCTGGAACAGGAGAAGGATTCTAGCAGCCACAGTGCCACATGTGCCCTCATACCTGAACCCTAGAAACACAAACTTCCTGAAACCTTCCTACTGCCTTTTACAGGAACCGTTCTCACACAGATACGGCCGAACCCAGAGAGGTCATCACATCCAGCTGAGCTCCTCATGGTGTTGTGAGCCCTGGCACACCCTTCTACAGTCCCACAGCCTCCAGGCTGCCCTCCCTGACCTTCAGCAAGGCCTCACCCACAGCTCTACCAGAATGAACAAGGAACCTCTGCCTATTTCAGCATCCTTGGTTCAGTGACTTGTTCTGGCTTAAAACACTCCATGTCCCCCCCTGGATGGCAAAAGGCAATCCCTGCTGTGAAAATGCATCCAGCATGAAGTGTCCAGCCCTCCATCTGAATCCAGGGTCCTGGTTAGTCACGGCGTGTTAGGCAAGTAAGACAGTCATGTCTCTAGTATGTTATGCCCTTTTTCGTGATTTTCTCTGGTGATGTCATGCCTGTCACGTCCGTGACTCTCAGGAGTCCTTTTTAGCCAGGCTGTCCTTGATCCTGCATCGCAGGATGTAAGCTGTGATGGCACTGCAGGCCACCAAGCCAAAGAAAGAGATGCAGGAGAGATAAACAGTGAAAGGCCCGTGTCTCTTCAGGAAAATCTCCTGCCTGTTCTTGTAATCCAAAAGAATGGCCTCCAGCTGTGACAGGGTGCAGATGGCCAGGAAGGTGTGGAAGATCTGGTGGGCGTGGCCAACAATATCACAGGAGCCAGGGAAGTATTTCTCAGGGACAGGGCAGGAAAAGAAATAAGCACTGATAAGAAAAAACAGTATCTGGTACGTGTGGTACCAAGCAGCATCCTCCTCACAGCCCCCCAGGTGACACACAACCACCCGGTGAGCCACGGGACTGATGTCCAGGATGAAAGCCAGCCCTGCTGGGATCACCTGGCACATCTTCCTCATGATGGGGTAAGGCCGTCGGTACCGGTATTTGGCGTAGCAGCAGCCGGCACAGGACAACCAGCCACAGAAAGCTGCTGCTGGCAGGAAGAAAAGCCAGAACTTGTCATACCAGGCTTGGTCAGAGCTGTAGTAGAAATGAGCCAAGGCACTGCCATACTGGTAGATGCTGACTCCAACATAGTCCACAAAGTAGAAGGTGTAGTGGTACAGCTCCGACTTGGACTGCAGCAGGTGGGCCAAGAGGCTGCAGGTCAGGTAGGTGACAGAAGAGAGGACGAAGATGAGCAGTGGCAAGGACCACGCATCCACAAGCAACTGCTCGGCCTCCACAAACGTCTTGAACCTCAGCAGCACGGCCAGCGCCGCCAGGAGATGAGTCCACACGTTGACCACCTCGTTGTGCTTCTGGAAGAGGCTGAGGAAGTAGTAGCGCCAGTCCTGGCCGGTGGGGCGGTACCCGCTGTGGATGTAGGGCTCGCGGAAGAGCTGCGGCACCTCGCACTCCTTCACCGTGCAGGGCATCTTGGGGAGGCCGTCCTCCAGCAGCCGGGGCAGCCGGCTGAGGTGCTGCCCGCTCAGGGACAGCGTGCTGAGCCGCTCCAGGATGGCTGTCATCCTTCAGCCCCGCACCAGGGAACGCCTCTTCCTGCCCTGAGGGGATGGGAGAAAGAGGAAATGTTAATGGTGGTGCACCGGGGAGAAGAGCATGCTGCCATTACCGGCGGCGGGATTAACCATTAGAGCACCCATCAGTGCCTAAAGGGGCTCCAGGAATGCTGGAGAGGGACTTGGGACAAGGGCCTGGAAGGACAGGACAAGGGGCAATGCCTGCCCACTGCCAGAGGGTGGGGATAGATGGGATATTGGGAAGGAATTCTTCCCCGTGAGGTTAGTGAGGCCCTGGCACAGGGTGCCCAGAGAAGCTGTGGCTGCCCCTGAATCTCTGGAAGTGTCCAAGGCCAGGTTGGACGGGGCTTGGAGCAACTTGGGATAGTGGAAGTTGTCCTTGCCCATGACAGAGTGTTGAGTCAAGATGGTATTTCAAGTCCCTTCTATCCCAAACCATTCCATGATTTTATGAATACTGTCAAATTTAGGGGTACCAGATCTCCAGGGAACTTAGAGAAGGGTCTGAGGCAGCATGAGATTCCCAGGGATATCTGTTCCCTGACCTAAATTCAGCACAGAGGGGGACGGCAGAGCTTTGTCCCTGCAGGTCAGCCTGCATCAGATGGGCACAGCAATATCACAAGCCTACCCTTCCTCCCCACTTCCTCAGGCACTCAGCTTGGAGCGTGTTCAGGAGCCACAAGCTGCCAACAAGGGGCTGCAGGAAGCAGATAGTTGGCAAGAAAGCATCTGATGATTTATGAAGGTGATTTTTCACCCCTTACTGCAGAACAAAATGCTCAGGGACAAAACTGGGATGTAAATTACTCATCTAAGGGATAAAGAGCCTGTCTGCACATGAGTTAAGAGGGTCCCAAACAAATCATGGAGGTTGCAAAGAAACTCAACCTTCCCTGTCACAGAGCTTGCCCATGGATTACTGTAGTGAGTATGGCAGAGGGAGAAGTGGAGAAATCCACAGTCCCAATCTGCAGCCCTTATCCCTCCACAAGTAAGAAGCATTAGGACTGAGAGGGACTGAAGAAATGAGAGGCTTCACATCCAAGCTGGCTGCAGTTTGGGTACAGCATCAGAGCCTTGGGAGCATCCATGGAGCCAGTGCTGAGGGACTGCCAGAGAAGTCCCTGGATGCTCAGAGCAGCCAAACCCTGTGCTGGGCACTCCTCTGCTGCTCTGCTCCTTGGTAACCTCTAGACTTGCTAAGCTCTGGCTGGCAAGATTCAGATTCAGGGCACAGCAGGATCCTGATGTGTGGAGAACAACTCTTGGCATTAAATTAATTCCCAATACCCCCTGTTTCCCAATAACCTAGATAGCTCTCTTCCCTGCTGGTGTTTGTGTCATACAAAATAGAGGAGAATTCATCACAAATGCCCATGTTAAACTGAAATTGGTGCTGATGGGGCCCCACCACCAGACTGTGCAGGGCTGTGGTTAATCCTATGAAATCAACGCACAAAGGTTTGCAGGAGCAGAATCTGTCTCCTAAGCTTATATGCACACAACTGGAGCTGCAGGGGATGGAGGTAGCAAAAAAAAACAAAAAAAAAAGGAAAGAAAAAACCCCACAAGTAAGTATTTTGCCTGAGTGTGGAAAACAGCCAATTTTTCTCCTGCTGCAATTTTTCTCCTACCAGCTGTGTAGTTTGTGTGGGTACCTGGTCTAGTGAAGGTGTCCCTGCCCATAGCAGGGGGCTGGAACTAGAGGAGCTTTAAGATCCCTTTCAACCCAAACCAGTCCATGATTCCATGATGGGAGACCCCTGCTAGGCTGTGATACAGAGGACAGGACAGTGTTAAACACCATGAGGGAGTTTCTGAAAGCAAGGAGGTGGGACCTGGCAGTCCCAGGGTAAGACAGCACAAAGAGCAAAGTCAGAGCAGACTCTCAAGCAGGCAGCAAGTCTCACTTCCTGTAGAAACCCAAAGCATCTGATAAGAAACAAAATATTTTCACGTTGCTTCTGTATTCTAGCAGAGGGGAGCTGTCATAATTAGGTTTCATTTTTCAGAAAATTCTTTCTGCCCTACACTGCCTTGGCTTTCTCCCTTAGCATCTCTCAGGGCTGGAGGTTTTTTCCTCTGTTTGTCACAGGGGACTTTGTCTGCTGTGTTTGATGGAGCTGCCTTAGCCACAGAAGACAAAATGGTCCCTGGAAACGCTGTTTTAGTTTCACAAATGTATAATGCTGAAGGGAGCACACTTGCTGGGCAGTTAATGTTGTTAATGTTAAGACTTTGTTTCTCTAAGGGTCTGCAGGGTCCTGATCTATGATTGGACATGCAGTTAATTTAGCAGGTTGTGTATCCCTGTGGAGTTACATGCCAAAATCTAGGCAGGCAAGGCAAGTTTTGACTTTGGGGCAGTCCTATGAGGGCAAGGTGTGAACAGGAGGCAACACTCACTCTGTGCCCTGTTCCAATGCACAGCCAGTCTGTTCTGGCTTCTTGTAGCTAGTGGAGTTCATTCATAAATTATGGAATTGTGGAGTGCTTCAGGATGGAAGGGATGTTAAAGATCACCTCATTCCACCCCCTGCCATGGACAGGGACACCTTCCCCTATCCCAGGTTGCTCCAAGCCCCATTCAAACTTGGACACGTCCAGGGATGGAGCAACCACAACTTCTCTGGGCAACCTGTGCAGGGGCCTCACCACCCTCACGGGGAAGAATTTTTTCCTGCCCATAGCAGAAGAGCTGGAACAAAATGATCTTTCCAACCCAGACCATCCTGGGATTCTATGATTGAATGATCATGATGGTGAGGCAGAAGAATAAAGGACAATGCTGAAGTTCCTTACATCTTGGAGAGAACAGAGTAATGCCAGAATCCCAGCAGAAGAGGAACTGAAAACCAGCTCCAAGAGGGCACAGCTGCAAGCATAGGGCAAGAGAGCACAGACCTGCAGAGATGCTCATCTCCTGTGGAGAAACCTGCTGAAAACTGCATGTAAAGAGCAAAGGCAACACATGGGAGGGTGGCAGCTGAGCCTGGGAATAGGAATGCATGGGGATGCAGTCCATGGCCTGCCTGCTTTGCATGCTGACAAGGGTGTGAGAGAGACAGGCAGCTTCTGTCCCAGGCACAGCCTGGCTCTGGCTTGCACCGCTCGTACTCGTGCCAGGATTTTGCCAAGGTCTCTCATCCCCAGAGCTCAGTGCATGCAGCGAGCATCGCCTCAGAGAGCCTGGGCACTGCACATCTCCCTGACAGCACAGATTATTCCAGGCAAGCTTTCAGAGCTGGAAAATGCCAGTTTTAAACAGGCTGCGAGGGGCAGAGATTTTCAAAATAATAGTCCGAAATCACAAGAAACACATCTGATACTGGACTGAACAATGCTAAATCAGGAACCTGGTACCCTGCTTATTTCAAACCTTGTGATATGAGTGAGTGAGAACGAGTTGGCAGCTTCCAGCGATCATGTGATGGGACAAAGTGACGAGCAATTAACGTTAGAAAAGAGAGAGAAAGAGGAAAAAAACCAACAAAAAACACCAACCCAGAAACCCAAGGTCAGCACTGGCTGTTTCACTTTCACAGAGCCCCTATTCTTTTCCCTTCACGGGGGCGTAGGAGCAGCTGAAAGCCACATTCATCGGCGGGGTGTCTCGTTGAGATTCCGTCCTCACTCCCATCTCCGGGGGATTCAGTTATTTTGGCTGCTCCCAATTAACAGCAACCAAGTATCGTTTGTTCAGGGAGGGAGCTGCAAGGCGAGAAGGAGGGCGTGGATGATGGCCAGGCTGGATCATGACATCCACAATAAAAACTCCCGGCACAGGAGGAGAACGATCCTGTTCCAATTTTTCTCTCCCTTTTGAAGAGGGTAATTGGAAACCCGAGCTTTTTCCCAGCTCTTTTGCTTTTTGGTCACACTCTGATGGAAGGGTTTGAATGAGAAAATTTCCTACAGAGTACGGTCGATTTTCCCACCAGTCTGGCCCCCGAGTTCACTGTCTGGGACTGAGGCTGGACCAATGTGATAGATTTACTTGCAGGCTGGTATTCAGGCATCAGAGGTTTACACAGGCTTCCAAAAAGGCAGTAATTCCTGGTAAACAAAGCAGGGAGGACCGGGGGTACTCTGCTTTGGGGAAGTCTTTAATAAATGCATGGCATTTAAAACAGGGAAAAAAAGAAGAAGTAGTGGTTGTGGACAGCATGAAAATAACAGACTGGTTTGGAGAGCTGCAGGTGATTAATGCCTGAATTCCTCTCTTCTGGCAGTTGAGCAAAAGTCCCAGGGGGGACTCCAGGTCATTTTGAAGCTTTTGGGGTTTTATTGTGACCCACTCCTACATGGGGTTGACTTTGGTGTCACAGCTCCCAGTGCACCAGGATGGCAGGGAGCAGTTCAGCTCTGGGAGAGGCTGCACCAGGGCTGCACCCAGCTCAGATGCACTGGATAAACCCAATCCCAAACCCTGTTGTCTGAAGGCTGGTCCTCCCTGAGCACAAACATCTCTTCCAGTAATTAAACCATTCTTTGGTTTAATTAAAGAGAGAGAAAACTTTGAGGGAGAAGGAGGGAGAAAACTAAAGAGGGAGAAAACTAAAGAGGGAGGAAACTAAAGAGGGAGAAAACTTTGAAAGACCATCCTGGGAGCACAGTGCCAGCTCCTCCATCCTATTCTTGCCCTGTGTTTTGGAAAGGCTCCTCCAGAGCTGAGAAAATAAGAGACCATGGACTGGCTCAAGAAGCAGTTCCTGTGCAGTCTTGGTATTACCTGCTTCCTTCTCCTGCCACAGATTTAGGGACCAACATTGCTCCAGACTGCAGCAGGAACACCCAGAGCTCAGACACCTTCTGTGGGGAGTTACTGGGATTTACAACCAGCACAGGTTCCCCAAAGGAGCTGTGGCTGCCCCTGGATCTCTGGAAGTGTCCAAGGCCAGGATGGACAGGGCTTGGAGCAAACTGGGATAGGGGAAGGTGTCCTGCCATGGCAGGGGGGTTGAACTGGGTAAGCTTTAATGTCCCCCCCAACCCAAACTACTCTGTGATTCCATGATTTGATGGTTTGTGCCAGGGACCAGCCCTGCCAGGACAGGCAGCAGGGTGTGAAGAACTTATCTACTCTCCAGCATCAAAGAAGTGGAAATCCCCACAACCAGAGAGGGGCCAGGTGTTTGGGGCTTTTCTAAACTGGGCTTACACTTTCCCATCTAGGAAATGGGGATATCAGTCCTCATCTGCCTGGTGGAAATGAGATCTCGTGCTCATAATGCACTGGGCAGTGCTGGGACTACTTAACAGTGAATTGCACAGAAGATTTTATTTCCCTCAAGGCACTTAGGTACCCTGTTAGATCTACATCAGCCCAATTACTCCTCCAACAGGGACCTGCACAGGTTGGGATGCTCTGGAAAGTAAAAGGTGGTGCCATCTGATTTACTGAAAGGCACAACTTAAAACAACCTGACCTCCTCAGGAAAAAAAAAGGTCAAAATAACCTTGTGGTAAATTTAAAATAAAAGAAGATGGCTCAAATTCTCCCCTTCTCCACACACACACACACACACACAGTGTGCAGCCCAAGCAGGGTTTGTCCAAGCTTGTATCCCTCAGGAAACGAACATCCCGTGATGCTGGGAGACGAGCCATGAAAGCCAGTGGGAGGTGGCAGGATCCCCCACGGAAGCCACGGCAGTGTCAGCTCCCCTGCAATTCCTGGCCTGGCAGCAAGCTGGGCCAGCAGCCAGCTCAGCCCTGCTGGGCAGCAAGTGCCTCTTGACATGGGCTCAGCGTTGCCTGAGCTTTGGGATGGGGCCAGGGGATGACAGCAGTGGAGCCAGCACAGGGAACGCTGTGCTCGGAGGGCACAGAGCAAAAACAAAGCTGCTTGCAAATGTATCCCAACAAGGGGGGCACCCCTGAGGGCCTGTGGTGTTTGGGGGAGTGAAGCAGGGGAATGGAACCCCAAAATTAGGAAACCAATGGTTGGATGTGGCTGGTGGCTTTATTGTGAGAATCCAAGCATCACGTGCAAGGAGGGGGTTGATTTTCACAACATTGGGTTCTCAGAGATCAGCTGGGCTGGCTTGGCAATTCCTGTGCTGCTGCACCCCTCAAATGGGGGGCCACACACAAACTGTCAGGCAGGAACAACTCCTGCACTGTGCTATCTCCCAAACCATGTTAGGGAATGGCACAGTTCTGGTTTGCTCAGATAGCACAGCTGCAGTTTCCTCATGCCTAACCCAGCTTAGAGCTCGGTGATGCTGCTGCTAACACAGCCAATAATTCCTGAAAAAAAAATTAAAAAATTCTCCTGGCTGAGGATTCCCTCCTCTGGCAAATCCACTCCCTCTGTATCAAAATTTGCTCAAGAGCAAGGTAATATTCTGCAGCTTTTCTTCCTGATCTCACTAATCCTTTGCTGTTTGTTCTTTCCTGATCCCCTCAGCACTTTCTTTTCCCACACACAACCAACACACAGCACCTGATGCTTTGGGGCTGGATTTCAGGTGGCTGTGAAATCCCTGGATGAGTACACCAGGAATCAAACCAGACTGGGACACAGTTCCAAACTGTAACCATCAGGTTGCTGAACTGTCAGCACACCCCTGGGCATGGTTTTGGTCCTGCCACCCCCACCAGTCCCTGCCAGCTGTATTCAACCATGCAGGGATCACCGATGGACTGGGACTGACCCTTTCCAGAAACTGGAATTGTGTCAGCAAAGTGCCTGGGGGTTTTCCCCCTACACTGACTGAAAAAGGAGCCCGGATTTGTCACAGTGACATCCCACTTTCACCTCCTAAACTTCCTTTAGCACTAATCTTCCTTCAGTGCAGAACTGGGAACTCCTGCTAGCACAGGGAAACCTCAACAAGCCAGCCAATCCCTCCCTGCTCAGATCCATCGGCTGATGGGACAACCCTGGAACCATCTGCGGGCAGAGCAACCAAACCAAACTGCCCATGTGCTGTTTGTGGGTTCAAATCATCCCGAAAAAACCTCTGGGCTGAAGCTGCTCAGCTTTGCTGTCATCCACAAAAGCCTCTTGCACAAAAAACATCTTTTTTTTTTTAGGCTGTGGATTTTAGAGCTTTGGTCACTAGAAAAAAATGTATATAAATCATGCAGAGCCCTGCGGCTGCTGCGGGCAGAGGAGGCACTGCCAGGGAGAGACTGCAGCCCTGAGCCAACCCCATGGAGCTGGGAGCTCTCCTCTCCCCTGAACTAAAAGTCTTTGTCCCCATCCTGGACCTTGTCCCATTTAACCCCATGGCCTCTCCCAGCCAGGTTCTAGGTTTGCAGTGACAGAAGTGATGCTACAAAGCTCCAAGGAAGAGGCAGATGGCAGATTCCCTCCCCAAAAGGCACATAGGCTGTGCTGCATTCACTTGCTTAGAACCCTATCCAATCCCAAGGATTTGGTGGGGCATGGAGGGTGGGAAGGAGATGGGAGCAAGCTTCCCCTTACTACCTGGAAGTGTCCAAGGTGAGGCTGGACAGGGCTTGGAGCAATCTGGTTTAGTAGAAGGTGTCCCAGTCCATGGCAGGGAGTTGGAACTGGACCATCTTTAATGTCCCTTCCAACCCAAACCATTCCATGATGCTATGAAGGATGAAGCTTATAAGGTATGGCATGTGTACAGCTGCAGCCTCCAGCAGCCTCCCTGGGTATTTATTCATCTGAAATTTACTAATGATTAATTGTTTATGCACTTAAAGGGCCACTGGTCTGACCCCATGAGCAAGGGTTACCCCATAAACTGGCAGATAAAAAATTAAGCTGGTGCCTGACTCAAGATGTGCAAGTAGCTGCAAGCTCATGCACGTGACCTGGTGGTGGCACCTCCCTTGTGGCCATCCCTCCCTTGTGGCCATCCCTCCTTGCCATCCCTCCCTGCATCCACAGGGACACAGCCCTCGGCTCGGCCACAGGCTGCGGCTGCAGCTTCAGCATAAACAAATAAAAGCAATTAATGTCCAGGAAACAGAAAATCCTGCAGGGTGCAGGGCTGTTAACCCACACCTTCCCCAGCTGCGTGGGAGGGAATGTGCAACTGTGTGGTTTGGCCTGAGCAGCCCTGGAGTGGGTTTCTAGGAACTGTTTGCAGCACATATCACCACAGCACCCCAAGGCAGGAGCACAGTCTGCTGCTAGAATTCAGAATTCATGGCTGCCTGTCCCCTGGCAGAGGGCAAAACCAGACTTCAGACCTGCTGGATTCATCCTTTTTCAAGACCTTTCTGTAACTTTGCTCTTTTTCAATGACTGTTGCCAGGGAAGCATTACACTCCTCATCCTAATCTGCAGCAAGCCATCCTAGAATCCCAAACTGTTTTGGGTTGGAAAGAACCTTAAAGCTCATCTCATTCCAAACCCCCTGCCGTGGGCAGGGCACCTTTCACTAGACTGGGTTGCTCCAAGCTTCATCCCACCCAAAAATCCTCCAACTAGCGATATTTAAATAATTTCCCAGCTCTGAAGCCACAATCCCACAACAAGTGCACCTCTCCATCCCAGTAAAAACCTGTGTGCCCCTGTGTGTCACCCTGGCACAGCTAATAGGATGCTCCAAACCCAACCCTGCTCATGCCAGGGAGGAATTGGTTTGGCACCAAACAAACAACCGTTAAATGTTTACCTGAACTTATATATCTATATATTTGTGTTCAAGAAAACCAGAACACTTTAAGACTGTCCACAATATTTCCCTCCCCTTCCTGAAAAAAAAAAAAAAAAAGAAAAAAAAAAAAGAAAAAAAGAAAAAAAAGTGAGATGCTTGTGGTGTTTTCAGCCAGGAAAACAGGGGGGAGGGACATGACCCCGAAGTGTCCTGGAGAAGATCAGCAGGGAACAATCCTTCGGTGACCCTTTGGAGACGCGCCCCAGCTCGTGTCTGCGCAAGGAGCAGGCGGCAGCTCCAAGGCAAACACCGGGAGCTGGTTCTTCTCCCAGCTCACGGCTGAACTATGGCCTCCAGAGCTCCCCGGGTGTCAAAGTCGTTAAAGGAAAATCCGCCCACAGCCATTTCAAACAAACACGCAGGAAAACCGCTGCCCACCTCTCTTCTTCAGGAAGCCCTTGAGATAGCGGTAACGGGGGAATTTAAGGCAAAATCCGCGTCTCCCTGCTCATCCCTGCCCTCCTTAAGCTCTTCCCCAGCACCCACCTGACCGCTGGACCAACCCCGGCTGGATGAACCACAATTGTGCGCGGCACAGAGGAAAAGATCCCGCATCCCCCCGCATCCCAGGGGTGTCTGCAAGCACCAGGCACTGCACACCGACCACCCCCGCACCCATCCCGCATCCCGCTTCTTTCCGCAGGGAACGATGCTCCCGGCGCGGCGGGGATGCAGGAGCGCGCCGGAAACTCCCCGGGGACCCTCGGGTGTCCCAGCGGGAGAGGAGGGGACCGCAGGGAGGGGATCGCCCGCAGTGTCCGCTCTCAGTGCCCACTCTCCCTCTCCCGCACTCCATGTCCACGCTCACCGCCCGCACTCAGTGGCCGCACTCACCCCCTGCACTCAGTGTCGGCTCTCCCGTCCCGCACTCACCGCTCTCAGTGCCCGCTCTCGGTGTCCCCTCGGTGTCCGCTCGGTGTCCCCTCGGTGTCCGCTCTCCCCGCCCCTGTCCCGCTGCCGCTGCCGAGTCCCGGCACCGCCGCCTCCGGGAGCCCCCGCGGCCGCCCTGCGCATGCGCGCCCCGCCCTGGGGTGGCCCCGCGGACCGGGCCCAGCCCGGCCCCAGCCCGGCCGGGCAAAGCGGGGCTCAAACCCTCGGCACCACCCAGATCCCGTCACCCCAGCGGTGAGTGCTGAGGAGAGCCCAGTGACACATCCATGAGAGGGGTGTAAAGTCGCAGACTCACAGAGTCGTTCCTCCGAGGTCATGGAGTCCAACCTGTGGCTGGTCCCCAGCACAGAGCACTGAGTGCCCCCCTCCTGCTGTTCCTTGGCGCCTCCAGGGATGGAGATTCCAGCACCTCCTGGGCAGCCCCTGGCAATGCCTGACCACCCCTTCCATGAAGAAGTTCTGCCTCATGTTCTACCTGAACCTCCTCTGGCCACAGCTTGAGGTTCTGTTCCTTGTCCTGTCCCTGTTCCTTGGAAGCAGAGCCCACCCTCCCCTGGCTGTCCCCTCCTGTCAGGGAGTTGTGCAGAGCCACAAGGTCCCTCCTGAGCCTCCTCTGCTCCAGGCTGAGCCCTCCAGCTCCCTCAGCTGCTCCTCATAGGATTTACAAGTCACTGCAAGGTGATTGGGGATGGGAAGGGACCTTTGGAGGTCACCTGGTTCAGCCCCAGAGATCACTCTCAAAGATGAAGATTCTACATTTAAAGTAAAAATCACAGGACATGGGGTTATGGGCACCCACTGAAGCACAGGAGATTCCTCTGAACATCAGGAAATGCTTTTTTACTGAGAGGCCAATAACTGGCACAGGTTGCCCAGCAAGAGGTACCTCCATCCTTTGAGATATTTAAATCCATCTGGACATGGAGCTGGGCAACCTGCTCTGTGTGGCCCTAAATGAGTGAGGAGGCTGGACCAGATGACTTCCATGGACTGGGGGGTAATCCCCTGATTTCAATGCTGTGGACATGCAAGTGTGGAGGAGCAGATGATTTTCTACAAGATTTCCAGGCTAAAAGCAGTATGGCCTCAAGCCAGCTGCCAGCACCAAAATCTTTGGGCTCCAAAAAACAGGCATTTGCACCCAAATGGCCTTTCAGGAGCAGCTCAGGGCTCCTGAGCTGTGCCTGGGAAATGTGTGGGAGAGGCTGATGGATCCTGGATGGAGCTGTGCCAAAGGCACAGTGGTGGGTTCAGCTGTAGGGTCACCGTGACCCCAGGAGCAGGTTAATTTATGAGTTACAGAGTTTGCCCTCTCCAGGCTCTGCCTCAGCTGGTTCATGCAGGTTCTGCTGCTCCAGCCTGTCAGAACTGCTGGGTTTTAATGGGTTTATGAGGAAAACAGAAGGATTGCTTGTTCTGCAGGGAGAGGATCCACAGAGAGGCAGCCCAGGAATGTGACTTTGTGGCTGTGATAAGATCTCTGCAGTCTGGGTGAAGGTTCAGCACATCCCAGCACAAACCTCACAGCATGTGGGAGAGCCAGTGCCCCCAAAACGAGGAAGGAAAACATCCAGGGTGAAGAAGGTGGGAAGGAACCTCAATTTTCTCCTGTCATTGCACTCAGGGATGTGAAAGAGATACAACTGGCAGCTATCAACCCCCCCAGTGACATCTTGCACTCATTTTCTGTCCCTCTTAGACATAATACTGCACCCTCCTCCTCCTCCATTCCTGAAACTGGGAGGGGATTCTGCCCCTCTGCTTCATTCTGGTGAGACCCCACCTGCAGAGCCTCCAGATCTGGGACCCCCAGCAGCAGAAGGATGTGGAGCTGCTGGAGAGAGACCAGAGGAGGCCACAGAGATGCTCCAAGGGCTGGAGCCCCTCTGCTCTGGAGCCAGGCTGGGAGAGCTGGGGGTGTTCCCCCAGGGAGAGCTCAGAGCCCCTTCCAGAACCTAAAGGGGCTCCAGGAGAGCTGGAGAGGGACTTGGGACAAGGCATGGAGGGACAGGACAAAGGACAGTGGTAGGAGGTGGGACATAAAATACAGCCCAGGCAGATGGGGATGGGGGGAGGTGACATCCCTGCTGCAACTTGGACACTGCAATGCTGCCAGGCCACCTGCACCTGTTTTACCCCAGTGAAAGGTTTTTACCTCATTTAACCTCCAGGCATGCCCCAGGGCAGCCATGGGAAGGGCAGAGGACAGCTCTGTGTGGGATAACCACTCTCCTGGGGGGGTGCTGACAGCCTGTTCTGCACCCCAAGCCTGGTGGATGCTGCACAGTGAGAGCTCTTTGATCCCTGGCTCTCAGGTGAGTGGTACCAAGCCATGCTCTGCAGTTCATCTCAAACATACCCTGCTGTGCTCAAGCTTACCCTGCTGCTACTCCCTACCATTGACATTTTAAACCCTGAAATGAATCACCCAGCTCCCTCCAAGTCAAAACCCAGGTGTGGTTATGTTTGCCCAGGAGATTAGTCCCAGAGTCAAGACTGGGTTGTACCAGGCTGAGCTTTCCCTACCCTCTACAGTTATCTGATGATTCAAACACCCTTTGTGCCCTCAAACATGTCCTGAATGCCTTAATTCCCCACCCAAATGTGCATCATAGAGTGGTTTAGGTTAGGATCTCACCAGAATGAAGGAGAGGGGCAGAATCCCCTCCCAGTTTCAGGAATGGAGGAGGAGGAGGGTGCAGTATTATGGGTCTTTCAGGAGATGTTTAAGAGGGACAGAAAAGGGACTTTGGAAGGGATCTGCAAAAGGTTGTCCTGGTGTTTTTAGGTGCTCAGTGTTATTACTCAATAAAAGGATCTTTTGTGGATCAGGGTCTCCCTCTACCAAGAAGCCTCCACACCCACCATGTCCACACTGTGCTGCTTTGCACCAAAGACAACTGAGGTATTCCAAGCACCAAATGTAATCCAGGAAGTAAGAGTTACCTTTTCCCTGTATTTGCCTGTAATAAAGAATAATGACTTGTTATTGCACTGGGGTAAAAGAGAAAATTTTTTGCCCTGTCTGTGCCCACATGGAACTCCTTCCCATGGGGCAAGAATTGATGCTCATCATACATTTGGCAAGTTTTACATAAAAATTCTGCAGATGCAGAGTTAGAACAGTAAGAAGACATTAGAACACAAAGGCTTTCTTTAACTAATAATTCAGAAAAGAATATCCATAAAAGCCTTGGGTTACCAAGTTCGGCCTCTGCAGTCAGAAGGAAGCACTTGATACAGTTAATTTCGGCACCATCAGCTGTTCCCCACGTGCTGCACAAGGATTGTGCAGCAATTTGGGGTCGGGACTTTCCTGCCTCCTCGTGGTTTGCCCGCAGCAGTGACAGCCCATTGTGACAGTCTGATGGGGGTTACTCATGTGCCTTACACGGCGTGCTGCAACTTCCCAGCTCCCCATCAGGGCAGGGAATGGATCCAGAGCAGCCCTGGGGAGAAGGGTTTGGGGGTGCCAGGTGGTGAGAGCTGGACATGACCCATCCCTGAAACCCCCCATGGCCTGGGGCAGAAGGGGAGGGGGAATTCTGCCCCTCTGCCCCACTCAGGTCAGACCCCACCTGCAGAGCTGCCTCCAGCCCTGGGGACAGCAGCAGAAGGACCTGGAGCTGCTGGAGAGAGACCAGAGGAGGCCACAGAGATGCTCCAAGGGCTGGAGCCCCTCTGCTCTGGAGCCAGGCTGGGAGAGCTGGGGGTGCTCACCTGGAGAAGGCTCCAGGGAGAGCTCAGAGCCCCTTCCAGAGCCTAAAGGGGTTCCAGGAGAGCTGGAGAGGGACTGGAGACAAGGCCCTGGAGTGACAGACAAGGGGGAATGGATGAAAAAGGGCAGGGTTAGATTAGATACTTGGAATAAATTCTTTATAATAAGGATGATGTACACTGGCAGTGTCCAGGGCCAGTGGACAGCACTTGGAGCAGCCTGGGATAGTGGAAGATGACCCTGCTCATGGCAGAGGGTGGAACTGAAAGGTCTTTTAGGTCCCTTCCAACCCAAACAGTTCTGTGATTCTGTGATTCTAAAGCTGGACATCACTTGCTGAAGTGACCAGTGGATCCTGCCCCAGGACTGAAAGCAGCTCCCAGAGATCCTGAGGAAGAGGCAGAGAGGTTTTGCATACAAATGGATGATTTCCAGGCTTGAGGGTGGAGAAAATGAGAGAAATAAAAGAATAGGAAAAAAAAAAAAAAAGGGGAACCAGCTGTCACTGTCTTTAGTAACAGCCAGAAGTCATGAGAGCAGATGAGGAGACCAAAATAGCAACATCAAAACCTCAGCTCCGTGTCTGAGCCCTTCAGATTTCCCTGCAAATGTGGTTGGGTTGCCCCATTCCAGAGCTTTGTTGTTGATTCAGCCTCTCCTCTGGTTTCATTTGGAATTCATTTTTCCTTCTGCCCGCAGGCAGGGCCTGTGTGGGTTTGTTTTGGTTTTCTATTAATTGCTATATTTTCCTCTTGCACAGCAGGAAAACAGGATGAATCCCTGTGGGATCTGGAGTAGCTGTGCATCTCAGGAGCAGGACCACAACATGATTTTATGTTCCCATCACTGTGCTAGGGCCATGCTAGAGGCATCTGGGAGGAAAAACAAATCCATATGCTCTGGGCTCCTACTCTGGGAAGAAAGAAGGTGGTTACAGCCCATCCAAACACACTGAAGGACAGACCTTTAACTCTTTACCCACTTTCCTGTGCTCTCCTGGTGAGATACCAGCAGCTGCCTGTGTCTTTCAGTAAAGAAATTCCATTTATACACCCTGATAGTAGTTTTCCATTTTATTCTTCTCCACAATTAGGAAAAAACCACAAGAGCTAGAACTGTTTAAAGATTTACCAGAGTGTGTGGGAATAGCAAATACTTCAAGAAAATTATGTCAGAAATGCCTGAGCTGGGTGAAGATGCAGTGGGGTGAAATTCTCCAGCCTATGTTAGGGAAAAGGTGAGGAGAGAGGATTAAGAAGGGCTCCTTCAGCATTAAATTATTTGTGATGAGAATCAG